AAAAAAAAAAAAAAAAAAAAACAACAAAACAAAAAAGAAATATTTTACCAATTGAAAATTAGTTAATTAAACTATAAAACTTTATATTCCATTTTTGCTCATCCTTTCTTAGAGTATCCCAGACATGGAAGTTGATTTAAATATTTAAAATGGAAATAAATAAGAGTCCAATTATTCAATTATTGAATTTGAATAAGTCAATGATAAGTAACTGTCAAATTGTCATTATTTATACCGTTGTTTATGAAATTCAAATAATTTAACTTCTCACCTATAAAGATACTGAAGCATCGCCAACATTATGAATATTCCATATACGTATTTAATTATCTCCAATATTTTCATTTCATAATCATCTTAATTAATAAAGGTTTTAGAACTAATATTAATAAAGTTATTTATTTAATCTTTTTAAATCATAAATTTAATCAGTATAGTGCTATCCATGAATCACGAGGGAGCTGGAAGGTTATTTATTTATTTATTTATTATTATAATTATACAACTTTTTTTAATAACAAAATTAGACAACTGTACAAGATCCAAAGAGGGCTGTCTTAATTAATTAATTATATATATATATTTGTCCAATGCTGTGGTTATAATTACATTGCCTGCCTCTAGTTCTATCTTTCAGTTGTAAATTTAAATTAATTTTAAATAACTTATAGGCTTTTATTTTAATTTAAATATTTTAAATTATAGTCGTTTATCCGTTTTTTCCTATTTTTTTAAGACTATAAATTATAATTTTCACAATTTGATGCGATAACGTTGACAATTATTGACTTTCATAAATATTTTAACGATTAAAACATCGTTATTATGGTGTTCATATGATTAGAAACCTACCGTGAACTCTATTTAAGTTTTTGGTATTGAAGATTTATATATTATATTAAAAAAATAATAACAAATATTTAAAAAGTTCAAAGAGCAGGAATAATTAAAGGAAAAAAAAAAAAAAAGAATTGCACAAATAAGATATAAATTTAAAAGTAATAAAATAAATGAAAAGTTGAAATGAAGTCGATAACAGAGGATTAAATCCAAATAAAGCCCGCGCCTCCTTTCTCTATCATTCAGCATAACCGAAACTTTTGAATTATTCCGATTTGACAAAATTACCCTTTCCCTTTACAAAAGCCCACCTATTACACTACTGGATTCCCTCGCTCCTCCTCCTTCAACAACTCCGCTGCTTCTCTCGCCGTCACCGGCCACTTTTCGCCTTCAACTCTTCTTCTCTCCGGTGCTTTTCAATCCTCTGAACTGCGAATTTTGGAGTTTTTAGCAGACTGTTTTTCTTAATCTATTGCTCAACGGAATCTTACATTTCTTCTCTTTGTAAGTCACTGCCTATTGTTCTTGTTTGAAATTTACGACGAATGATGATTTTGCGTTTAACTTACTGTTTTCGAAGGTTGATTTGTTATTGGATGAAGAGTATTTGGCGTTGGTACTTTGTTGTATGAGAAGAAGGAAAGAATCGGAGTGAGAATTTTTTTGCTTGGCGCTTGGTTTCCGTAAAATGCGCTGAGTTGATTTCGGAAACTAGGGTTAGTGGGGACAATACAATCTTTTGATGTTTATTTTGTTTTAGCATAAACCTTTAGTTCGCCTGAAGGCTGGTTGTTCATCCTTTTGACCGAGCTCAGTAGGTTATTAGCTTCTTCTTCTTCTTCTTCCTTTTTTTCTTTTCTTTTTTTGCTCTCTCTCTCAATTCCTTCCAAAAACAAAGGTCGTGCAAATTGACATGTGGATGATGATCGCTGATTATATGAGATTTGTAGGGTTTCTCGATTGTAATTCATTTTTTTTATTTAATTCTTGCTAAATCTTGTTATTAGCTTGATCCTGGTTGGCTATTTCATTTTAATTCTTACTTATCCTTGCATTTCTACTTCTCTCACATAATTTATGACTGTGTATGATGAGTGCTTTGCTTCCCATTAAGAATCTAAATCTTTTTCTCTTTGTGCAAGGCTTGGTAGCGAAGAGCAGGAGACGGGTCCATAGACATTCACAGACAAGAGTAAATCCAGTTTAGATTTCATACATGAAGAAGTTGTTCTTTTTCAGATCTTCAGCACCTAGCAATGGCAGTACCGAAGTTTCTCCATCGAAAACAGAAAAACGAGATTATCTCGAGCATCCATTCGAAGGTGGGTTGAACAATGTTGCTTGTAGTTACAAGAGCTTCTCTTCCAAATTCTGAAAGAACGAACCTGGTATTGATGAAATGAATGCAGGTACTGGTCTTAGAAGAAGTCGCTCACTGTCCGCAGCATCGTTGCTTGACGGTGGGAAGCAGAAGAGTTCCTCTGGGTTAAAAGATGAAAATGGAGCTGCATATAGTAACTTAATTGGCACTTCAGATCAGCAGTGTGAACGTTCAAATCGGTAAGCTTTAAGAACAGGATGAGCATTTGTTGCCTAGTGATCTCCATAAGTTAAAACTGATTAATCTTGCCTGTGATATTGCTAGCCGTCAAATATCACCATTAAGAAGACAGTGTAGAGAAAAGCAATTTGAGATGATTTATAACGATTATGGAGCTGTAACAGAGAGGCCATGTTCTGCTGTGTCGTCCCGAAGCTATTGTGATTCTTCAGGAAATTCTTCCGCTTCATCTGGTAATGTCTCGAGCAAAATCTTGGATCGGTATATTGATAATGGAGAGCAACAGGTAGAATCAAGCAAACCCCAACACTGTATTCCTCCCAGAAATTACCCTGGACATGGTAGTCGGAGGCGGCCCCCACGTGGTCGAAGTATAGCACCTACTTCGCCGAAACATGTTATTAATGAAAAGTCAATGAGTCGTCCATCTGAAGAATTCCCAAGTTCAAATTATCACCACTTTCCTGCAAAGTATGGTGAAAATGGATTAGGACATGAATCTCCAAGGACCATAGCGAAGAATCTAATCGAGATACTCTCCCAGTCTCATGGGATTCCTAAAACAAGTCCAAAGGGTTTCGACAATAGTATGCCAATCACTGTAGGCGATATACTCGATAGGTGCGCAAGTGAAGAGTATGATTCCAATGTGGATGTCATACCCCAGAAATTCTATTCAGTTCATGAACCTTCAGAAGCGATTAATAGAAATAAGATGGAGAATTCTGGTTTAGATAGACAGAACTTAATAGATCATAGTGAAGTGTTGAACCTTGTTGAAACCAAAGAGGAAATGGATGGGGAACTCAAGAGGAGAATCAAGGTGGCAAAGGAGAGAGTCATGCTTTTCAGAGAAGAACGAGACCGGGAAAGCTTTCTTCAACAGAGGACCGGAGTTTCGGGTTTGGTTCAGACAATTAGACATCTTTCTGAGGAGAAAACGAGCTTAGCACTTGAGGTTCTAAGTCTTCTAGAGTCCCAAATTATTGAAAGGGCTTCTGCAAAGGAAGAGCTGAGACTGGCAAAGGAAACATTGGATTCTCAAACTAAGAAACTGGATAGAGAAAAGATTGAATTGCAGTCAGAACTGGAGGTAGAGCTCGACAGAAGGTCGAACGACTGGTCGTTAAAACTAGAAAAATACCAGTTGGAAGAACAGAGGCTTCGTGAAAGAGTTCGGGAGCTAGCAGAGCAGAATGTATCTCTACAGAGGGAAGTTTCTCTTATCAATGAGAGGGACACAGAGAATCGAAGCCTAATATCAAATTCGGAGCAAAAAGTTAAGGAATTAACCATAATGATGGATAAATTTCGGGACGAAAACCAAGTTTTGATGCAGAATCTCTCCGACTTGCAAGATAAGTACGAAACTGCTAAAGAAGATAGAGAATCCTTTAAGAGAAATTTTGAGGAGAAGGATAAAGAATGCAAGGAGTTGTATAAAGCAACAACAAGATTAACGAGGACCTGCTGTGACCAGCAGAAAACAATCGATGGATTGCAGGAAAGGTTTACTCAAGAATTAGGGAAGAACACAGAACTTGAAAAGTTAGATAAGCGAGTCGTAAAATTGCAGATGGAGCAAATAAGGTTAACTGAAGTAGAACTGGGATTAAGAAGGGAATTAGAATCTTGCAGGTTCGAAATTGATTCCCTTCGGCACGAGAACATAAGCATCTTCAATCGCTTAAAGAATAGTGAGAAAGATAATGGTGCCTTAACCATCAAGCTGGATGAGGAAATGTTAGCTCGCGTTGATTGTCTACAACATCAAGGGCTAACATTGTTAAACGAAAGCTCCCAGTTATGTGCAGAATTACTTGAATTCATCAAAGGGAAAGTTCATTACCTTTCAGAAAGTATACAGGGGATGGAGGCTGTGAAGAACAATCTGGATGGGCTATACTTCATTGAATCTGAGATGAAAGTTCAAGGATTAAAGCGTGGAACCGAAAGCTTAAAACGGAGTTTATCGATAGTATCTTCGTTGTTGCATAAGAAAACCAATGCAGATGGGTTAATGCATTTACATGGTGATGCTTCAGAGGTATTTCATTTAAGAATCTGTCTAGATTTGTAAAGTTTGATAAGAGCATGTTATTTATTGTTTTTTTCTCTCTGTTGCAGCATGTTTTAAACTCCGAGCTCAAAGCTGAACGGTTGTTAACGAGTCTGGTGAAAGAGAAGCTTTACTCTAAGGAGCTGGAAATCGAGCAGCTGCAAGCTGAAATTGCAACGGCAGCTAGAGCAAACCATATTCTTAGATGTGAAGTGCAAAATGCACTAGACAACTTATCCTGCATTACACACAAGCTAAAGGATCTTGAACTCCAGGTAATTGCAACATTGTAAGTTCTTGATTTAACAATTCATATATAAAGAAAGTATTTCATCGATACAGATTCTGAAAAGGGATAAGAATGTGAACCAGCTACAAAATGACCTTGAAGAATCTACCACAGAATTGGCTATCATTAGGGGAACCGTGCCAAAGATTTCTGAGGAGAGAGATATTATGTGGGATCAAGTGAAACAATACAGTGAAGAGAATATGCTACTTAACTCGGAGGTTAATCTATTGAAAAAGAAGATAGAATCCTTGGAGGAAGACATACTTCTCAGGGAAGGTCAGATCACGATTCTTAAAGACTCCATGAGAAACAAATCTTTTGACCTTCTGGGTAATATTGAATCTACAGACGAGTTTCTTGTACGATGAGACAGACCAAGAGAATCGGGTTACGATTAGTTAGATGATCTCGCTGTTCATAGTCATTATTTTCAAGGTGCTTTTGAATTTCAAGCTTTGAAATAACAATCTGATATGTTTTTTGCTACTAGCATTAGTGATATAGATATATAGATAGAGAATCGTGGAGAAGATTCTGACTGTAATTATATTTGGTGTGTAAACCTATCAAATGTTAATAGAAAAGATCAGTCAAAATCATGGTTAAAACGTTCACCACGATCATATGACTCCAACTTAATCTTTAGTTTCGGTACCAGGTTGGATCGATTCTCTTGGTACCTGTGTTTCTTCCTTCATTGTGGACTATGGCTAAGCTGGTTTCCTTTTTACCTGTGATTATTTGCTTGACAGTGAAACATATAGAACTCCAGAAAACAGAGGCAGAGGGTACACAATGCAAATGGAAAGCACATAGCTGTGTATAAAAAGAAAGATTCCCCCCCACCATATCTTTAATCATTGCAGGGCTTAATGCAACGGACTTTAGTATTTTGCCATCATTCAGATGATGACCAATTTCCCTCAGATGCTTTTTCATTAAAATAAAGGATGAGAATCAGCTAAATGTGCAAGAATTGTAAAGTTATTGGTCAAAACAAATTTTTGCACATCAACTATCACGTCATGACGTATAATGTAAAAATTTGTCAAAACCACGAATGAGGTCTTAAAAAAACTCACCAAATCGATACACGAAATAAGGAGTCACACTATTTGTATGATCTCACAAAGATGGACGGCTGCCTCCTTTTCATTCTCTTCTCACTCAATTACATCAAACGCTACAGCAGGGCTTGAGAGTTTGTCAAAAGAACTAAAAAGAGTCCATAGTAACAGAAAGGGGTAAAACTAAACAAACATTTTAAACAGGTCAAATTACATAATCTTCAACATCAACACTACCCTCGCTTGATCATTGTGGACAGGTTAAGAAATAGAATACATGTTTTCAATGTTACATATGTTCACCTCTGTTATCATCCTCACTGTGTCCGTCTCCCCCATGTCTGCAACAGAGAACTATGATTTTAGAATAACAGGCCGTACAGAAGTTAATTGAATGGAATTAAAGAAAATGGGAAGCAGTTCAACCCCATTGGGAGTTGCAAATTTTTTACTACTAGAGGGGTGGGACAGAGTGGTGCCCCTTTGTCCCTACCACTCCTTTAAATCAGAGATGAAATAATTTTCTTGCCCTACGAAGGATGAGATTAATAGGGCTATAAACGCCCCTTTGAGTTGCAGCCGAACTCCTGTTATTTGCCTCTTCCAAGGAATAGTGAGATCCTCGAAGACAAGGTAGTGCAAGTGTGCAAGTGTGCAAGTGTCTATATTCCAAGCAGAAGATTTCCTTTTAAGAGGAGCAAACCACCTTCTTTTGGTTTTTAGGTTTAGATGCAATTCCTTGGTAACAGAACTGGCTCACTTCACTTTTTTTCTATCATGTATCCGACTTTGTTCTTGGCGCAGGGATGAAAGATTGTGCAGGTTTGAACTCTTGGTTCTCTCAGGGTTTTAACTTGTAGTTCCTTTCACACCCATTCAGGGTTGTGCCCCCTTTTCCACAGGTTGTGGAAGCTGAAAATCCCTGGTTGGAATCCTGGGGAGTGCTGACACCATCGATGCCATTTAAAGCTTTTCCAACATGTATTTAGCCTAGTTGGTGGGTGTTGTACCAGAATGAAACACTTTGTGGACATGGAGTTTCAAACCTGGACACTGAAGGAAATGACCATATTTTGTAGTTGGTGGGTTTTGGACAGTAATTCATCTAAATGAAAGAGGTAGTTCAATCAAATAAGCAAGTATATATATATTTTTTTAAGAAGAAATTTTCTGACGACAAAAAAGAAAAATAAATACACACACAATTAAACAGTCATACTTTTCCAGAAAGAGAGATGGACAGCATAAATATGCACACATACCGCCAGGATGAGGTTAGGTTTCTAGCTTTTCGATCCAGTTGCAGGTTTTCCAAAGCAGCAGAGGCTCTGATTACATCCTCAGGAAGCTCATTGCCATCGTATCTCCAACTGTATTCATCTTTTCGATAACCAGACATTGAAGATCCTACCCTCCTATCTGAAAGCTTAAATCATCACATAAACAAATAAGAGGAAGCAGATAACCATATAGGAAATAGCTACATGACTTACCAGACGCCTGTGAACCAGCACCAGCTCTGAAATAAAAATATACAGCAGTATTAATGCAAAAAGGAAAGTAGTAAAAATTTGGTAAGGGAAGGCAATGAAGCTATATTATTAGTTCAGGCAGGTATTCACCTTCCTACTGGAGGTAAACCCCCTGCAACAGATGATGAAGGTCTCCTACTATTTCGGGACTCGTGACTGGACATTGAATCAGATTCTGAAGTGATTACTCTCCTTCCGGGACCCCTTGTTTGAGATAAGTTCTGATTTTTTGAACAAAAAGATAAAGAAGATAAGTTCCCAAGGCAAACATCAGGATATCCAGTGCAGAGGGGAAATATACACGTAATGTAGTTGGCAGTAGAAGTTTTTTTTTTTTTTTTTTTTTTTTTTTTTTTTTTTTTTTTTTTTTTT